CAGCGTTCCGTGACGGGTCAAGGGACCATTCAGAGTAAACAGCTCGATGGTCCGATCCATAGTGGTCGTGGTAAAGGTGGCATTTTATAAGGCTCCCAGGCGCGTCTGTTACGGTGAGATCAATGGTGGAGTTGCTCCCGGGGTAACTCATTGACCAGTGTGTGGGAGTGCCTCGAGGGAGGCATGACTGGAGTCCGTGCTTGTGGAAGAAGCTGACTAGTTCCTCGGCCTGCTCGATCGCGACATGGTAAATGCGGTTTTTGCTCCACATTGGGTGATGGCGGTTAAAGTCCCCTGCCATGATAATTGTTGTTGGCTTGTCCGTGGTCTCTGTCGCTTGCTGGATGCAGGCCTCGATCTCGCCCAGCATCGGCTGGATTGAGATCTCTTCGAGTGTCTGACTGTGGTTTGTAGTTGGGACGTATACTGAGAATATCAGCGTCTGTTGCTCCGTGGTCCACAGTTTAACTGCCGTGACGTCGGGATGGTTGCATTTTATCTGTCGATGTGAGGCTGTTGAGATTCGCCTGCTCACATAGAGTAGGCTGCGTTTCTTGGGGGTGTCCTCCTGGCACGTCGACTGGTAGAGGTGCCAGGCGCTGTGGTTGACGTGTGTGTTGTATGCCGTGAGTGGCGGCTCCTGGATGAGGAGCATGTCCAAGTTTTGTGTTTGGGGGTCATTGATCAGGGCTTCCATGCCTGGTCTAGATTTCCATATGTTCAGTTGTAATAGTCGCAGGTTGGGTGTCGTCATTGGGAGTTGGTGAGCTTGGCCGGGTTAGGACAGCTCCGATCGTTGGTTGGGTGTTCACCTGTGCAATCCAGACACCGGGCTCTCGCCCCAGGCGGGCAATGCCGGAGCTCATGCTCGCCTGCGCAGTGTCCACATCTCGCTTTTTCTCTGCACGCCCAGGCGAGATGGCCAAACCCTTGGCACCGGTAGCATCTTCTCTCCTTAAATTGGTATGGTGTCACCCCGATACATCGTTGTCCCACTAGGAGGCCGTTGTCCATGGTCCACTCCGCCGCCTCGCGGGTGTCGAACCAGATAGCCAGCGATCCGTGTTTGCCTATCGGTTTGTCCCTTGGTTTGAGCCAGGCGATCCGGTTAATGCGGAAGCCGTATAGTTCCATTTTGTTCTCTTCCATGAGGCTGCCGATGAAGGCATTCTCGTCCTCTGGTGTCAGAAAGCCCTCTGTTGGTGTTCTGTGCGCCACAACTGCGAACCGCGGTCGGGCGAGTTTGGTATTATTCCCGAGTCCATCAAGCCATTCTGTGTTGGATCGTGCTGTTTCCGCTTGGAGCTCGTCCTGGAACCGTATCACGTATCCGGTTCTGGTGGTTCCCACTCCCAGGACCTGTATATCCTCTGTC